ACCTTCGTTACTTCTCTCTCTTCTCTCTCTCTCTCTCTCTCTCTCTCTCTCTCTCTCTCTCTCTCTTCGAGATTAATGCAGCAGCCGTTGCCACGATAACGCATAACCCCAGTGCAGCGTAAGTGGCTTAACTGAATAACTTAGTCACGACAATTACGAAGCATTGCTTCGCAGCAGCAAAGCTATTACAAATCTGCCTACGGTTTTCGTTGGAATTCACTTCGAAAACGCTTAATTGTCCTACGCGGCTTCTTCCTACTCTTTAATTGCGTTTACATTTACATAACTGGCACGCTCCACTCTCTCTCTCTCTCTCTCTCTCTATCTTTTTCCTTCTCTCGCCTTCCTAAACTCGAGAGTCACGTTTCGTATACTTCGCTACAATTTTCATAAATATTCCAGACGTTTGAATTCTTGTTCATTTGGCACAACTGGGATGATCAATGTTCTTTCGTTCACCGAAATGGCAAGTGATTTCTTAAAAAATTCTATTCCATTAGATTCTTCTTCTTCTTCTCGTTAGACAATTTTTAATCAACGATTAAGAGATTCGTTCCGTTTCGAAATTGTTGCTTTCTTATAAATTTCTCGCTGTAATAATATTAAGTTGTGATTAATTTATTAAAAATATTTTATGACTAGTTATCCGAACGAATCTTAATTAATCTTAATTAATAGGAGACACTATAAGATTTCATAATTTTGTTCAAAATAATTTTAATATAATAGAGGAAAACTATTTACCCCTTTGAAAAGATTAATTTTAATATAATCATCACGCCTTGAAGAAAGAACCACTACTAGCATGATAAATGTTTCACTCGTGAAAGCGACACATCAACTTAATGAAACGACGTTAACGCGTTGTAACCTTTTAACCACCCGCGCCGCTTCAACGAAATTAAACAAAATTGCACGGCGCGACGCGAGTGACGGCGGCAATAAAAACGCGGTAAATCGCGTGGACTTGCTCGTGCACGTTCCGTTCAAATCTAGGGCGAATCGTCGGAGGAAAGAAGTAGAGAAAGAAAGAGAGGCAAAATAGAGAGAGAGAGAGAGAGAAGCAACTCCGTAACGAAGCCTTCGCAAGAAAATCGGCGTGGCGATCTAGGATCGCGTGGACGCGCGCCATTTCCTCGCCTCGCATGCGATTTCATGGCTGCCACTATGACGAGATCTCGAGGGATCTGTTTGGGGGGCAGACCCGTGCAGGACGATTCGTGGACTGCGGGGGAAACAGGTCAGGTTTAACGAACCGTCGAACGAGCCTCGAGCAAGGTAACGAGAGCTAATTGCCGACGTTTTCATCGTGTACACGGCTCGAGCTAAATAGATGCTCGTTATATTATAAGCGATCGGCGTATGCTGCGTCCAAATCTTATCACTCGAGGCGAGTGAATTTCTCGTGTGCACGAACGTCATATGGAAATTTTACTATTCGCGATAATACACTCTCCTCGATAATTGCCAGAAATTAGGGATTATCGCGAAGCGAGTGATTGTGAATTGATCTTTCGAAGGAAAATTTTGATTCGCGTGCGCGCCACATGGAAATTTAATTCTTCCTCCACGATTTATTTTGAATCTTAAGATTATTTTATTGATCAATTAATTTAACGTGAATTCTCTATAAATTCACTTGCTTCGTTACAACACTCGTTTGTTCTTTACGTCGATCTGCTCCACGTTTTACACTTGCGCTCTTCGGTTATCAGAAAAGGTTTCCGCTTACATATTTTTCTTAATTTACCGTCACGACGATGACGAAGCACCCCACTCACTCACGGTTACACATTTTAGAACGATAGAATAATCGACGCCTCGTATCGTGAGCCATAATGTTTTTTCGCGGGTATAAAATATTTTCCAGAAGAATGTTTGTTATCGACTTGTCCCCTATCTAGAGAGCTCTCCCTCTCCCCCTACGTGCTAGCGGAGCGGCGCACTCTCGTTTGGCTTTACCGGTCTTTTATGAGCCACGTTGCGATAACGGCAAAGTATTACCGCGTGGGTGGTGCAACCTATTTTGTAGCCGCACGTGTGAACGGACAATGCATGACGTTCGATAGACGTCCCAGCTACGTAAATTCCTTTCGCAAGTAAGGAAACGACCCGCAAGATACGGTCCATATTGATTTTTTTACGGTAAGGTGAAAAATTATTTTCACGCCTCGTTCCTTTTTTTTCTCTCTTTTTCTTTTTTTTTCTCCTTTTTCTTCTTCTTCGACTTCCTCAAAGTCTTGTATAAAAGTTTCTCTGCTCGTTTTACTTCCGCAAGTTTTACTTCCTTCGTTCCAGTGGTTGCCGATACTTCGAGCGAGGCAAATGATAATTAAACGATAATTTTAATATTTCGATCGAGAAAAAAATGAGAAAATAATCGCTTTCTCCTGTTTGGATTAATTGGAACAGATAAGCGGCTACTCTCGATCCGTAATCCGATGTTGGTTGTAAATTGTGCCTCGAGAAATATTTTTGCAGAAATTCAAATTGGACGGAGAAGTGAGGAAAGAATACGATAAAGTTTGTGCAAACAGGTTTTAAATCTGTTTCAACCTTATTAAACAAAGAGTGTAATTATAAAAAGCTTTTCCAAAGAAGAGAGAAATAGAAATATTTCAACGAGTGAATATAATTTACGTACTGCGGTAAAAATTGCGTGACCCGAGATAATAGAATATTAAAAGTAACGCACAATTTTAAAACTCTGAAAAGAAAAATATCGAACTTTATTTTAGAATCATTTAATATTCCATCACTGATATATCAATTACAAATTCACCATCCTTTTCATTCCTTAAATCGTATCCCTTCAAGGCCTTTTTCGTAGGCCTTGCTCCAAGCAAAGTGCCTCAATTAATTTCAATTTCGACTCTCGAAAGATCGGCAAATTAGAAATCGTAAAATATTCTCGCGATAAAGGCTCTCTCCGCCTCTTTAATTAAATCTCCAATTAAATGTCTCCCCTCCCTCTCGAATATGTCGTACACTCGACGATAATTACGAGCCGTTCCCAAAACAATTGTTCTCAAAATTTAATCTATCGCAGTCGAAGGAATTGGCGAGAGGACATCACGGAGATGTGGCAAGATCGGAGAGAAAACAGAAAGAGATTCCTTCTCGATCGAACGAGGGAACGAATGATTTTCACGAGCGTGGAAAAGTTTGCCAACAGTTGCCAACGAGGTGAAACTTTGTGCGGTCATCGATAATCGGATATTACTTGTCAGCTATCGGATCATAATTATGAATTGAAGCGTTTTCCGCGTCAGCGTGAAGCGGAAGAGAAATTTCTGCCGTGCGCATTCCGACAACCGATTATAACGATGCATCGGTTTG